AGTTTATAACATCAAACCTTGATTACATTTCTTTGTCATGAGGTTTTGATAACGACATCTTTTTTTTTTACACCTCAGTATCGCCATCTGCAATGGCCCCCAAGAATCTAGATCGGTCGGGCTCTGTATGAGACTGTACAGAAGAGTGACAGTGAGGAGAGGACCTGGCTGAGGGCAGTGCTTCTGTGATAAACATCTGATGTGACGACAGTGCAGTACAAGAGAACTTCACAGTTTAACTTAAAAAAACATATTAAAAACATTACTCAATGCTTTCCCCCTAAACACTAATGCATTGCTCTTTAACTGCTGCTGTATTATGTCCCCCCTGGTCTCAGAGTGAAACCGAGGCCCGAACGTGGACATAATTATCCCACCTCCTCTCTATAATGAATTCTTATTATGAGAGATGGGAAGATAAATGTGACAACTTGAGGAAGAAGGAATGTCAGTTATTTGGTGTGTTGATAACATAAGAAAACTCCCTGGGACTATTTAATAAGTCTGGCAGTGACGACTACCAGACATAGTTTAGTAGAAAAAAAAAATCTCTTACAAATTGCAGTAAGGCCACGACAAAAACAGACAACGCAAAGGGAAAAGACGAGAAGAAACAGATACGCTCATAAACAAACCTGGAAAAGATTTGGTTGCAGAATGTGTTTGGCAGCTCTGGTGCTCTAAAACCTCAATTTAAAGGAGAGATGAGTTTGGGTCGACAGTGAGGAGACTTGGATTTAAACGCCGACATGTTGTTGACATGTTGCTCCAAATGACTAAGTTTACAGTGTAGATAACCTCCCTGCATAAACAGCCGGGGTCTTCTCCTACTGAGGTGTGAGGGTGTTGGTAACGGGGGAGATGGGAAAGAGGTGAGAAGTGTGTGTGTGTGCGTGTCTCTCTCTTGTGGGGGGATTATGGCGAGACTGGGCAGCCAGGGGGGGTGTGTGGGTAAAATAAGGGCTTGACGAGGAAGAGGATGGCGACTGTGACAGTTGGTGTGCAGTGCAGTGCAGTGGGGGGAGGGGAACAGACGGCAAGAGATACTAATTATTCAGTGTTTTCCAGTGTTTCTGCGCCTCAACAGTCGACTCACCGGAGACTGGACCTACTGTAGGAGTTCCTGAAGGAGACAGAAGAAAGACAAAAGATGAATATTGAACTTTAACTTTCAAGTGTTTTGGTTTATTTTCCTCAAAAAGTCAAAATCTGAGCTAATAGCAGTTTTTATGATCTATGAATAATTTTACTTTAAAATGTACTTCTGATCCAGGGAGTGAAGGAGTTACAGTGAATAATGTCCCACTATGAGCCAACAGGAGTATCTTCTTTAAAAGAGTGAGGTCAAACCCCCTAATTATTTTAGTCAGCGTTGAATTTCAGCAGCTCAAAAAGCAAATGATCTGTTCTCAATATCATAATTTTAATTCTATAAGAAGATCAAACTACTTTTTTCTTGGTAGCAAATTGTGGCTGTGGCAGGTGCTGTTGGCTGTAGCTGTTTTTGATTGTGAACCAGTCCAGAGGCACGCACATGCAAATTGAGCTGATGCCAAAAGCGGATGAAAACAAAAACAGATGATAGTTTCCATCTTCAAAGAGGATAAAATACTATAATAAATGTACCTACTTTTTTCAAAAATGAACAAAAAAAAAAAAAAAAAAGAGAGAAACATGATAGTTATTAATCATCACTCAGTGTTGTGCAAATCTATTCACCGGTGACAAATACAGATTGTATGAATCTATGACCTGGAGTGAAATAAAGTTTGGTTTTATGTTTCTTTTGTGTTGGTTTGATGGTCTTTGAGAAGCGGCATGAGCTCATTTTGTGTGTCTCTGTGCGTAGGCGTGCGTGTCTGGTGTCTCAAGTTACCGTTGTGTTTGCGTAGACTGAGCTGGCAGGGTTCTATATAGCTGGGGGATCTTGCGGTTGATGAGAGGACCCAGAGCTTCTTTCAGTTTATTGTAGTTCCTCTCCAGCTCTCTGTGGTACTCCTTCTGATCTGGACCAATCAGGGCCTTGTTCTTCCTCAGGGCATCCTCACACCTGCAAGAGAAAGAACGGAGAAGACACTGAGCGTGGGGATTTGTTTTTATTAGTTACACAGCAGTCGCGTCTGGGCCGTGGAGTGTGTCATCACCTCTTAGTAAAGTCTTTAAAGCATAGGCGCAGTTTGTTGTGATGTCGAAACAGCTTTGGGTCATTAGGAATGTCAGAGAGAAAGACCTGCGCCACCTCAAGGGGGCCCTGTGAGGGAGAGAGCCTGTTACATATCTGCTAAGGAATGTCAGTCACAACTCAAAACACTGAGCCTGAGTTCAGCCCCATTCTAATGGTATTAATATACCAGGAGGAGGATGTGAGGGAAGGGATTTTTTTTCATTTCAGTGTATTAACACCTGGTTGACAGTGGTGCCCACGCAGCCCTGCAAGACCATCTGCAGCATCTTGGAGTCCGCAGGGTCTTGGTTAGTGGCGAAGGCGAGCTCCTGAGTCTTTTTCTGCATGTCTTCAATGGCCACCTCCATGGGGACGAGAATGATCTGGAGAAGAAAACATGACAGAATGAGAAAAGGTCGCACACCCCACAATTGTGTGGCAACTAACCAAGAATCCCTCCTGAACAGATACCCACCTCCTCCTTGTGGATAACGTTGATGCGTGTCTTGATGTAAGGGAAGGCATGAGACGTGGTCAGAATGGTTTTGCGTTTGTACTGCTCGTGCAGGTCGCCGTGGGCCCGACCGTCCAAAGTGAAGGGAGTACAGTACATGAAGGTACGCAGGTTGTAGTTCTTGTCAAAGTAGGTGATTCTTTCCTTCAGCTCATATGTGTCGAAGTACGGCTCAACGTAGGTGATCTGGACGTAGGCCTTAAACAAATATAAACACATCCACACAGTTATACCCTTTGCAAAATCTGTGCTGGTATATTATGAGTGACAGGTATATGGATAAAGTCACCTTGTTGGGATCTAGCTTGGTTTTGTCCACTGGGTTTGAGTCCTTGATAATTTCAGCCACCTCATCCCCAAACCTCTCTGAGTAGAATTCCTGAGCACCAAACACATTCATCTTTTAGACATTTGTTTTTTTTATAAATCAATAATTAAACCTTTTCTTCTAGCGTCAAGATGAGTTAACGTGCCTCAAGTCTGTGGGAGATCTCGGCTAATTTGGTGATCGATGGTTCCTTGTAAACAAACTCTTGTTCATCCAGGTCTCCAAAACGACAGCCATAGAAACCAACCCGGAAGTATGTGCCAAACATTCTCTGAACGCTGAAGGAGAGATGAAAAGATGAGATGAGGAAAGAGTGCAGACGCTGAGTGAAGCAAAATCACAAAGATGTAGATACACGTTTTAAGTGCTGATTGGAGAACAGGAGAAAAAAATAGAAAGCCTTTAATGTAATAGAGCTGAAAATCTTTTCATATATTCTTCCTGTTGAGGTTGTGGACTCAAGACTTTTCTAACATATTTTAAACCTCATTGCATGATTTTCACAGATGGAAATGTTAAAATTACTGGTTTAGTAACAGAAGAGCTTTTGTAGAAAAAAAGGGAACTATATACTCAAGCTGACTGTGGCAAAAAGGAATGGAAATTGTTTTGTTATAGTTGGTTCAACTCAACTATATCAAAGAAAGTTGAAAGAAAGTTTTGTGTCACTCACCAGTAACATGTCATTCACAAGAACAAGCAGCGGGGGAAGAAAGAAAAAAACATTGTAAAAACAAAATAAAAGGATTTTTACATTGAATACACCCAATGTGAAAGATGAGCTTGTTACCTCCCATCCTGAACTCTGGAAAAGTTGAGAAAAGAAACATAAAAGAAAGAAATTAGCAAAAAATATTTTTGACAGCCCAGTTAATTGCAGCAGATTGTCAGATTATGCCTTTAACTCACTTGGTTGTAGACTTTGTTGAAGGCGTCCTGCAGTTTCCCGTGGACAGTTGCCAGCTTTTTGAATTCCCTGTTGGCTTCATGGATGGGCAGCAGAATCTTGTACACTTCATTTATGGCCTCATACATGGCTGCCTGGAGTAACAGCACAAAGGAAGGCCAGTTCTAAACATACCACTCGATCACGTAACGCTCCCTCAGCCATGCTAGTCCTGTGTAACCCTGTGCTGTGTGAACATGCAGCCTGTCACCATGTGGTTGGAAAATGTGATTCGTACCATGTTAAAAGACGCAGCTGCTTGCTCCAGGAGGCCCACCAGGCCAGACTCGCTGAAGTACTTCCCAGCACAAATCCCCTCCTCCTCCGGAGACAGGACATCATCTGATACTGCTGACTCCTCCAGGACGTTGGATGAAATGTTCTGAGAGGGAAACGGACAAAGCACAAATAAACATAATAATATTTATATTTCTTTCTTTCACCAATCACAGGCTTTAGTCATGATTAAGTATTGGAACACCCCATGTAATTCTGCCAGAATGCTGCCCATAAGTGTTGTTTATAGTCAAATGAGTCACCAAATTAAACAGCATGTACTGACCTGAAATGTGACACAACCAATTGGCAGATATCGGCAATCCTCCAGCATGTTGAGGTATTCTGCCACTAGAGCGGCACTGTGGACGAGGCAGTGGGCAGCCTCGGCGTGGTTCCCTCTCTCAGAGTGTTTTCCTGCCATGTTCTGGAGCCACGTGAGACGTAGGTCAGGAGAGTTCTGGTAGCCCTTAGCAATCCTGAAGTTAAATAAGAGAGAGACTTTCGGTTTCAGTCATGTAACTTTATTCTTTATATGCCTGTGTCACTGATGGGCGTCTCTGTACCTGTACATTAAGTCAATGAGCATCTCTGGATCCTGTTGATGCTCTTTCATCTTCACAGTGTCGGTAAGAATCATGTGCAGGTTGAACACCAGATCCTGGACCTGCAGTTTCAAAAGTGCAACACAGGACATTAGTAAGCAGCACCACATATGGATGATGCACAGTGTGGTGGCTGGTGCGTACCTGCTCTGGGAAGGGCGTGTCACGCAGCTCCAGGTCCTCTTCAGCGTATGTTAGGATCGTCTTCAGTGACCGACGCAGATGTTCCTCATTGAAGTTCTGCGACGTTCCCACCAGTGAAGACAGAGACATGGTGACCTGCATCTTTACTCGTGCAAAGTTCTGGTGCAAAGGACAGAAATAGGAGAGATTTTGGCTCACAACATTATGGAGATCCAGTCTGTAAACATCCTGTGTGTGTTCTGCAGATTCCTTTTTGTTGTAAGAACAAGAAAATTCAAAACAATGTCTCAACTCACATTTCCAATCTCAAAGTTCTGCCTCATGAGCAGGTAAAGCGAGGCAGAGGCGTGACTTCTGACAGAACCGACACTACTGCTGCAGTGACGAAGGAGACGCAGGCACAGGTCTGCACAAAGTTCAGTGTCTTCTTCAAACAGCATCTCTGGGAACTACACACAAAAAACTGTTACTTTGTTTTATTCACCACAACAATATATTAGGAAACATTTCCTATTTGTTTTCTTTGCAAAATGATCAAATTCAATGTGTCAAGTTGAATTAATATAAAATTAAAATGGATCATGGAAACAACAGCAAATTTTAATGGAGACACTTGGCAGACTAGTGGAAACTGTACTTGCCTTGAAAACCAGAGCTCTCTGTGTAGTGAAGCAGTGCTGCAGGAAGAGGGCACTCTGGTTACCTGCCATGCTGTGAAGAAGCACTCGGAGAACCCCGCCTAAAACACTTTCCTTCAGCTCTGACGCCACCACAGTCTGAACAGAGGACAGAGTGAAAGATCATAATACAGCAGGGGAATTCTAGACAAAATGTGAGTCAAAGGATGATGTATTAACCACTTTTTCTCATACTGTTTTACCTTCACTATAATCTCCAGTGTGTCCAATACGATCAGAGAGACCTCAGTAGCCAAGTTTCCATCCACCACAGACTCCTGCTCCATCTCAGCTTTAGTCCTGTTACAGATAATTGAAGTCAGTGTGATATATGTATAAAAATAATTTTAATTTTAAATCTTAAATCTAACTTTTGCCTACTATCCTGTAGGATGAGGGTTTTAACTAGTAACTTGTTATCCTTTATAACTAATAACTAATGTTAATTACATACTTATCAACTCTGTCTGTATTTTGTCTCCAGTGAGTGACATTCTTCCTCCACCTAACGTTTTCTTGGCTGCCGTAGGGACTCCTCTCTGAAAGAATAAACAGATTACAATCTCCATAAACACAAATAATTGACCACAAACACAGGCAGCTATTGACACACACAAGAACACACCCACATTAATTACTGTGCTCTAATGCAGCATACCTCTGCAGCGGCGGACCATCTCCTGACGAGCCCCAATGGTGCCCAGTATGGCCTCCTCCAGTCGGGCTTTCATGTCCTGAGACTTCTTAAACGTTAGGCTGTTGATCCTCTCCAGAGCCTTCTTCCCCTACAGAGATCACAAAACAAATGACGGTTTGGGAAAACTAAATCAAATGTCAAAACAATGAAAATCTCCAGTAAACAGTAAAAGAGTGTAGAGTACTTGTCAAACAGTAGTGATTCAGTGCTGACAATCTGATACTACAGTAAACCCGATGATACAAGTTCTGTTTATCTGTACTGTTGTTCTAGCAGGTCCAAATTAAACATCTTAACACAGTTTTTGACTCATACTGTGTTTATTAGTGATGATAGATACATAGTGGTGGCAGTGCCTGGTTTTTGTACCTTGTATTCAAAGCAGGAGACACAGAGATGCAGCAGATCCAACAGGCGGTTGATTTGTAACACAGATAGATCAGACACCCAGCGCTCCAGGAGAGCTGCATCTGCATTCTTCAGCACCCACAGGAAACACACCAGCAGAGTCCTGCTACACTCGGCCGACAGAGAGCTGGACTGACGCCCAGCCTGATGAAGACAAACATACAAACTCAGCGCCAGTCTTTAAATCTGATAAATAACTGTTACAAAGAAAATGGACAGGGGGCCGCCTACAGGCTAAGAGGAGCAGTTGTATTTCAGAAAAGAAGAATAACATGGGAAGAATGCAAATACTCTTTGAATGGGCATTCGTGTGGAGGTGCAGAAAGGCAAAAGAGATCGGCTGTCAAAGTGAGGCAGCAGCCTCCCACACAGAGGCCGATCTGCAACCTGTCAGTGTGTAGGGCCCGGGGGAAATAGCCTGACCCCTGCCGCTATCACTCACCACTGTGGGCATTGCAAATGCGTTGGATTTGGCATGCGGCAAAGGGGAGCCGGCAATCGCCATAGCAACAGACTGACTGATAGTGTTGCTACTGTCTGGGTCAGCATCGTCAGCGTGGGCTGGGGCATGGCGGACCCGAGCAGGCGAGGAGTCTATAAAGAAATAATGAAAAGCACTCTCAGGTGCAATAATACTGGAAATAAAACACTGAGATCTTGAGGAGGAGGTGGATAACAATATGAGTAGACTGTGTATTTATTCTGCTGACCTGAGAAGTCGTGGAGCTGATGCAACGTCTCCATGACGATGTGGATGAGGGGTAGGTAGAGCTGAGCTACATGGGCTCTGACCTGAGGGTCACTGTGGCGTGGGTCTGCATCATGGCTGCAGAGAAGGGAGTGAACGGCACTAATGGCCTTTTTATGAAGGAAGAAAACCCTGTGGGTAAAAACAGTATGTCAGTGTGTTTTAGACTGTGCACTTTTACTTTATGTTATAATGTCTTAAAGATTTAATGTCAGAGGATTCCTGAGGGGAAATGAAGTGAAAGTCTTTATATATAGTTAATAACAACCTACCCTTCTCCATCAGGATCAAGAATGAGTGAGAGCTCAGTTAGCAGCAAACCAGACAGGAAGTGCTGCTGGCGAAAAGGGACGGAGAGCTCAAACATGGTGGCCACACCTTGGTCTTGCACCACGCTGGAAAATGCTGAACTCTGCAGACAGTGAACAGAGCAATAACAGAATAAGAGGGCAGTAATAGCAGATTGAATTCAAATCAGTAAAATTACATTTGTGTGCTTTACCTGATGATCTTTCCCAAAATAACCAAAAGAAACAGCAGAAAAATAGGCAAAAGAATTGCAGAAAATAAAGAGATATTATTTTTCTTATTAGTCTACAGAGGAGGCTGGATGGATCTGAGTTTTCAAGTTACCTGTGATGTGGTGGAGGAAGTTGAGGGGGAGGGGGAGGCTGGAGGGCTGAGAGTTGAGCACGGCAGGTTGAGGATGACGTAGTGTTCATGGCTACAGACGATGCGAGTAAAATCCATCCTCAGTGCATTCAGAGAGCTGGGGTTCTGTGACGTGTGGAGCTTGTTGGCAATCTGCATACCAGACAGGTTTGTTTGAGACTGTAAATATCTGTTTTAAAATACATGAGGCAGCACTGGGATTTATTTCAAAAGTGTTTGATATTGGAGGGTAAACAGGGAGGTGTATCAGGCACCTGTTTGTAGTAGGAACGGATGAGGTTGAACACGAAGCCCCGGTCCATGAGAGACAGCAGGTCATTCAGGAAGAAGGCCAGACTGCTGTTCAACCTCTCCACGAGCTCCACATCCTGAGAGAGAGAGGATGAGTTATTCAAGTGAGAGAAACAATGATATTGTAAATTAATTTACTTAAATCACTGATTCTAATACGGATCAAGCAGAGTAAACGACATGGTAACTTTCTATTTAGCAGAAACTCTAAAACCACTGACATCTTTTATTGTCCAATACAAAACAAAATGGACTGCCAGCTTTATGGGCTCTGTACCTTGTGGTATCGGCCGGCAATGTCTGCACTGATGGCACACACAAGTGCAGCAATGTCGTCCACAAATCGGTCTGGGAAACGCTGGCGCCTGGGAATGTCCAGTTTCGAGGTCAGAAATAAGTGATGGGCCATGCTCTTTGTCTGCAGGTGAGGACAAATAAGAAAATGTTGCTTTTACTGCTTTAATAATGGTACAAGCTTTGTGATTTTCAGTATTTTATTTAAAACTCCTTATATTTAGACTGTTAAGAGTGTTTTTGTGCATACTGACCATGAGCTGAAAGAAATACCAGGCCTGCTGCAGTGCTGCTTCCCTCACTGTGCTGGTGCTGACCACCCACTGTAACGCCAGCTCCTCATGAAGAAGCTACACAGAAACCGACACCGACCAAATTTTAACTCGTATGAGGAAACAATTTCAGTATCTACATGAGCTGCTGAGATTAAGGGAGAAAGCTCTGAACTGTAACTAGGGTTTGTAAATTAATTGTGCAGTTCTATGATGGATTTTGAGGCCGAAGATACAAACAGAATAAAAGTAATTTAAACATAATTATTAATAAAACACATTATCCAGACAACACATATTCAATGTAAGAGTCTCAGGCAATTGTTTAACTACTCACAGAGAGACACAGTTTTGAATGTTGATTAATTTTAATGATGTTGAAAATTGATGAATGTTAGGACATCAAAACGTGTTCGTTTATAATGGTGACTGCCGGTTTTACCTTCTTGGTAATCTGCCTTGTAGGAACTGAAAACAAGGCCACGCTGTCCAGAAAGGCAGACATGCGATTGCAGGTGCGGTCGTTTGCCTGACATGGAGTGATGGTGAGGTGAACACAGAGATGAGGACAAAGTGATGTGAAAATGGATGAATGGAAATGGACGGGTGGCTAGAGAACTCTCTATGAACTCTGATGAGCGCAAGGCTGGTAAGAAAATCTTCCCGAGCTCAAGGCAGAGATCACGTCATTCAAACTAAACAGATATGGTCTGTTTAGCAGCGGTGAGAAGATGCATTGCAAAGGACAGATGATGTGTCATAGTGGATCAAAAGATGTTAAAAGTTGGGTCTGGCTCACAGAGTGACAGACATGAAGCACGCACATAAATTGAGGTATGAGTTGACCCACAAAAGCTGATGAAAGATGGTTCAGGATAGAGGTGAAGGGGGAGGAGGAGGCGGAGGGGGAGAAGGGATTTGGCACCTGCTTGAGCTCACAGCTGGAGTTGGGGTTCCGGCGTAGCACAGATCTGGAGCCCCCAGGGGCATAAGAAGAGTTTACCCAGGAGTGGGAGCGGTCAATGCCCTGCCATAAGCCAAGGGAGACACACACAAAACACACACCCACACACACAAGCACACAGAGTGCGGCAAGAGGCGAGGGCACAGTGAGAAACCGGAAGATAATTACCACAAAGAAGATTATGTAAGGGAGGAATTTTGGAGGAAACCAAAACAAGGGATGTGAAAAGTGAAGCTAAAACAGGAGAGGGGAGAACAAAGGTAGGGCTGGGAGCACTGCATGAATCACAGGGACAGTGGCATACAGCACAAATGCATCTTTGACCTAAGCAACATCATTAACTTTTGGCACAGTTCATAGTCAACCCCAGAATATAAAGTCAGCTGTGAGGAGATGAAACAAGGGAAGGGCAGCAATTTCGTTACAACAATATAATATGATATTGGAACAGAGGTTGAGTATATGGCACACAGATGACAAAAAAAAACATTAAAACACAAGAGTTCTGTGTTTTTTCTTTATCGACTAGAGAAGCAAATTAGTCCCACAAACAACATTGGTATTCTTAACATTTAAACCCAGCATCTGAAATTTAGCAGTTTAATGTGCAAATTCATGAATTAAGAATATTGCCGTATTTGACCTTTAACAGCTCTAAAAGTATTTTTCAGATTTTGTAAACACTATTGTAACAATTCAATTTTCAATTATCATCAATAAATGCCAGATATTTCTAAAGACAACTCACTTTGCTCCCAATTATCCTTTGCACCTCTTCGTCAGGTGAAACTGGTGTGGTGGCCAGGTCAGGGTTGGAGTTGCTGATACTCTTGGAGCGAGACAAAAGCAGACTACTCGGACGAGCTGTTGCTCTTGATAAGGTGGCATACTGCATGGGCATCTCATACGACTGGGTGCCTGCTAGATGTAAAGAAGAAAATTTACTAAATTTAAAAGACTCTCTTTCTGTTTCTTTAATGCATGTAGTTAAATCTGGTAACTGGCCTGTTGGGGGCAGTGTAGGCTCAGCAGAGGGCAGGCGGAAGCAGTAGTGGATATAGGACACCAGCAGGTTGTTGCGGCCATGCTGATCCTGGCTACCCTCCAGGTTCTTGTGCATCTGGTTGACCAACAAAGCCATAGCTTCGAAAGCAGCACGGCCCAGGTTCACTGGAGATTAAACACAAGAATAGCATGAGGTGGAAAATAAAACAACAATTATCAGATTAAATCCAATAAACAAAATTAGAGTTCATCCTTGTTCCAATTGTACTTCAAATCTCCAGAAACAGAAATTATGTAAATCTGTTCTCTTTCAAAACTCACTTACCAATTTGGCCTGCGATGACTGGCGGGTAGACAATGAGCTGAATGAGCTTGTTGAGCAGCTGATGCAAAAACCTGACACACGTGTCCAGCAGAGCCCCCCTTAGAGCAGCCATGCTGGCCTTCAGCTCGCCCTCCATGTTCGCCTCATTTATGATGACGTCTTTCAGGCGGAAGGGGAAGGAATACTCCTCCAGAACATACACCAGAGTGAAGAACTTGTCCAGGTGTGGATCCTACAGGCACAAACACAATGAAATCAGTGAATTTCAATATAGCAACACTGGTTTTTAAAATCCAGAAGACTTTGAATAAATTATTTAATGTCTCTTTGATTTTCTGCATATAAAGTGAGAAGAAATTACATTCAGGCACTGCTCATAGTAAATGTAAACCTACAGACCTTTAGTACACTTGTGAACAGTAAAAAAAAGTTTTGTTTATGGAGACATATAGTCTATAAATAAAGAGACAGACAATAGACACAGAGATATTTTAGTGATTCTGAGTTGTCAGTATCTCTAATGTCTGTTATGCAGTATTCTTAGCAGTTGTGTTTTCTATCCACAGAAAGAATTACAGGCATTAACTTATGAAAACAATAAATGCTGATGTTGATTATTATAATCATCAGACCTGTCCTTGTAAAACTAACCACATTTTAATGGTGCTCAGTATAAAAAATGTACCTGAGTGTGAACCGAGGAAGCCGCTGTCACCTCAACATTGAACACTCCTTTGTGATTATCCACCCACTTCATGCCCGGGAGCTGAACCTGCCACGGAATAAAAACCATTTCATTTAACACTCAGTCCCATAACAAGGACAAGATGACGGCAGGCAAACAGATATTTTCACAGTTAGAGACTCACGTCAGGAGTGAGCACAGAGTAGCTAGGTGGAGGCTTTTCCACTGAGACGGGCAGACTGAAGGAGCCTGTGCGCAGTCGGCCATGCTGCATCAGAGGGATCCACTGCGGGCAGAAAGAGACAGGAAAACTCTTACCGATGGCAACACAACAGAGAGAGCGTTCAAACAAGTGAGCGAGTGGGTGGGTGGATGTGTTAAATGTGGGCCGGCTGGAGGAGCGTGCTCACAGTGTAGCCCACGGGGGTCTCCAGAGGAGTGTTCTGTTTGGGCTGGCAGCTGATGTGGTAGAAGGTGAACAGTAGATGGTGGTTGTCTGTCAAATTGGCGGGAATCTTCATCTTCATCTCCTCGTAGAACTCAGGGGACCTTCAGGGCAAAGAGTTAAATACAGCATTAACAGAAGACACAGAAGAGAAAAAGATTCGGAAGGACCAGCAGAGGGCAAGCAGGGGACTGATTGATTACTTGTTATGGTAGATGACGGGCGTGTATGCCTCTTTCAGGAACTCGGCACAGCTCGATTTTCCAAAGATGACCTGGTCAAAATGACAGAGTTTAAACATCGTTGTTCCAGGACGAACAGGAGGCACTCTTTTGACATGAGCACATTACTGTGGTCTGGTCAATCATTTAAAGAATTTCACCATCAATATGTTTTCAGCACTTCACTGAGGGTTAGCGTCACTAAGCAAGTAAACCACACTTTGTACTGTTATCGGACCGAAGATCCAAAGACATTTTGTTGTTAGTTGATAACTAAATAGTTATAATATACTGTGCATCAACAATTACTGATTAAATTAACAAAAATAAAAACATTTTTTACTGTACTTCACCAAATGTAACTAGACTTTTCTTGCCAACTGTGTTGCCGGTATAATGCTGCATTGAAGAAGTTCACTCATCATACAGTATTTCACTGCCTCGGGCTGTTCTTTGTGACTGGAAATTCTTTTTCTGGAGAACATTGCAGTTTTGACACATGGATTATCACAGACTGTGACTCACCGGTAAAGCTTGACTGGGGTCTTCTCCTGCCATGAACTGTGCCTTAACAGCAATGTTTCTCACCGAGCCCTGGCGACTGCTGAAGTTCAGACTTTGTGGGTAAATGTATAGCAGATTCCTGAAAGGCAAAATGATGCAAGGCACAGGTTAATGTCTCAGTCACAGGCCTTTCAGTGCCATGCTTTCGTCATTCATGTAGAAACAGCTTCATGTCAGTGGCTATTACAGTTTTTTGATTTGGAAATGAGAAAAACATTATGGGGGCAGAGTTGAATGAAACTGCAAAGCCATGAGTGAATTAGGAACAATGTTCAATGGTTAATGTTTCCACCTGTGGTTTCAGCATGTACTCTTGTTTCAGTTTCACACATTATTCTGCTTTATCGATCATGTATATCTACAATATTGCTTTCATAGAAAATTTATTGATTTTGTGTTGCACGTGGGAATCGTGTGGCTCAGTGTTGAATGTTTTAGATAAGTCACTTTAGCTCCTTTCCAAGTCAAACAGTGTCTATTTTGAAACAGCTGATTTTACCCACTTGTCAAGAGGCCATGACTCATCAAACACATGTATTTCAAATAACATTAACTGCACATATTGTAATACAGCTCATTAGGAAACATATTCTCTGTACCAAAGTCAGGAATGTGCCATCCATTGTTATGTGTATCACATGTGTTTGTGACCTAAATGACAAAATTAGTATATCAGGGGTTAAACTTCAAGGCAAGGTCACTGAAACAAAGGCCACAGGCGAGACCTGAGATCGAAACACAGCTGAGTTAATGTTTCACCATGGTGTTGCATGTACACATACAATATAAGGCACAGTAGCCAGCAAAAAATGTCATCATCCAGGGGCTCCTCTGATGATGCTAAGCTCCGCACAGCTGTGACAGACAAATTCGCATTTTACAGCTTTCTTGCATTGTTTTGAGATTTTCAAAATTCCTTTCGCTGAATAGTTGGAAAAACAAACAAATAACTGAGTGAAACAGATCACTAGACTACCATCAGTTTGTAAACAACAAGAATTATCAAGATGATCTGGGCTCTGTGCTTGCTTTGTGTGGCTGGGGGTTTGACAGCAGCCCATGCAGGTCCGCTCTCGAAGACCAGCAAGTTGGAAGACAAGGCTGCACCACTGGAAGAAGTCAACATGCTGATGTTTGGTGTCATACAGCTCAGCGAATCCCTAAATTATGTTTATGAAACAACTGCTGCAAAGATCGCGAAAATCAGCCAGGCGCTGATGAGCCACGAGGGGACTCTGCAAATGCTGGGGAAGCAGACTGAGCAGGCGGCCGAGGTGGAGAAACAGATGAAAGACGTGATACAGTTGCTACAGGTAAAAAAATACAGAAAAATGTAAACAACTGAGTTCCTGTGTGCTGTTACTATGAGAGAGATAACCAGAGTTCCAGACAGAATGCAGATCAAAAGCCACAACATGCAGAAGCAGAGGGACAGAGAAGCAGAATATCAAGTATCTAACTTCCCTGTCCGATTAAAATACTGTGTTTATCTGCCACGACAGCTGAACAGATATGACATCAAGCAGTTCTTCTTCTTGTTCTGAGGACAACAATGCTTTTAACCTGTCTACACAAACCTCTGAGTACCAATTCTGTGCTTAGGCCCAGCACTCTTATTTTGTTAGACCTATGAGCATCACCTGGTTCTTCAGTTTATTTTTCTGACGTATATGGATAAATCAAACTCTTTTATCTGAGATAAGAGAGTGCTAGTGTCATTAGAAAGCTGCATGTTGCACTGTAGGGCAGGCAGCTGCCAGCTGCACTGCGATCATTGGTGGGGGAAGAGGATAATCTGGGCAGATGCTCTTTTGACAGGCCCAGATGGCCAAGCAACAAGCTCAGACTGTGATGACTAAAGACTGGCTGGCCAGCATGGAGCAGGAAGGGGTGGAGCTCAAGACAAAAGTGAGGAGGTTGGAGATGTATCTCAGCAACTTCGCACCCATCAGCATCAAAGAGCTGCAGGTAACGGAATGTTGAACATAGGTTACAGCAAAGGCACTACAGAACTTTACATTTCTGAATACCAGTTGCTGATTTATTGGCATACACTAAATAGGTTACTTGAACTTTCTTCCTGTTTTTAGGAGAGAGCAGAGGAGCACTCCAACATCTTGAAAGGGTTACAGCTTTTGACCCAGTTCCACAAAGAGAATATTGAGACGCAGAAAGATCAGCTCTCCAAACTGCAAAGGATGGTGAGGCGCTTGTTTAAAAACATTTGATGCTTGGGATTGTTGAAGTTTCTGTTTAATTAAATGTAGAATTTTATCCTCCTCCTTCCAGAGTGAAGCAATGACATAGTTTTAAGATTCACCACTGAGGTCTCCCTCCTCTAAGCAGCTCCGAATGAGAGGAGTCCACAAAGATCTCAGCTCTGGAACGTCACTGCACTCCATTGCAACCCTGCAATCTAAACTACAGATCTAATTATCTAATATTTAATTTATGTTGATGTTGTTTTCATGAGGTGTTGATTCAATTTGCTGTAGTCATGTTTTAGGCAGCAGTTTGTGTTTAAATTTTTCTATATTGAGTATTGACATGTGTTTCCATCATTTAGCACACCCTATTTATTGCAATATGTATAGACAATAGACTAAATAAAAGTACAACACCAAAAACTACATGATCATAACACTAAATATACACCTCTTTAAAACAATCATAACATTACTGAAGGTAGGATTTACTGCATTACTCATTAGTTTTAGCAACATGTTCGTCAGCTGATATTTCTTATGTAATATTTGGTGTTTTTTGTTTATCTTAACCTTGATGTATCTCATAAACTTATTTTATGAAAATACCATTCAAATTAAGTTATTAAATTATAATATAATTTTTGCCTGAAAGTATTTTTTTTGTAAAACTCAAAAATAAAAGCTTGTTTTTGCATTTTTTGATTTTATACATTTTACAAAACAATGAAATAAATAAAGTTTTGATTAAGAATTCAGAGCCTGCTACCCTCTTTCCATAGAACTACTGTCTAAAACAGTGTGTGTGTGTGTGTGTGAGTGTGTGGGGGGGTGGAGGGGGTATGCCAATAAATCAGGGGGGTGCATGTGTGTTTGTTATAGGAGAGTGCTCACCTGTAGGTGGTGTGTGGAGTGTAAACATAGCGAGCAGGGAACTCTTGCACCTCTTTGGTTGGACGTACACGCAGGTCAGGGTAAGGTTTGACATGAAGCAACTCCGGTGACAGGCAGTAATGAGGCAGGTCCGGAGCTGGAGAGATATCGATCTTCAGCTGGGCTGAGGGACCACATCAGTCATGGAACACACAACAAGAAACCAACACAAAATATTAAAAAACATCCATGAAAATGTTTGCAGTTTTTATAGACACAGTTAAATCATGCTTACCTGTGACAGGTCTCAGTCTCCGCAGAACAGACGATGGTCGGCGCATATCTGCCAGGAACTTGTAGAGGTCCTCATCACTTAGTCTGTCTCCCTCCTTCATGCAAACAATTTGAAGAGCAGAAATTTTACTTGGATAGTAAAAATATCATAAGAGAATAGTTATAACCACTCTCAATGCACAATATAATGACAGTAAGTTAATTTCTTTTGGGGAAAACTGCAGAACATGATCTGCATGTGATCTCATCAGACTACATGATCCACTGAAACACTGTATATATTTAAAATTGCCAGAGATTCTTTATTTTGCAACACTTTACAATGCAAACAGCTTCCTTACCCATTCTCTTCATTATGATTTATATTGAGCCTCTTTTAAAGAAATAGATCCTTGATTTATATATTGTTCAATAAATGTGAGGCAGTTGTGTCACCAGGTTAATTGACCATAGTTTTAAAGCATTTCAACTATGTAGCTATCTACAGATATAAGTACACTTAAAGAACTCAAGAACCAGTTGGTTCCTTGTCTTTTGCCTATAAAACTTCCATAGCAGACTGTTGAATTAACTAAATAGATATATGGATGGATGAATAGATGGATGCTTAATTAATCCTGAAGGAAATTAAAACACATACTCCATGTGAAGGTGTATGTAAACTGGCCACAACAGTAACGATGCAAAACACAACATCCATTAAAAGTAGACAGAGCCTGACCTGTTTGAAAAAGTTGGTGACAGTAAGCGTAGCTGGTCTGAAAGTGGCAAAGTTACACGTGTCGTCCCCAATGCTCATCCGCTCAAACCCCTTCTTCTTTCTCTCATTCCATGTTCCATGACTTTTTCGTTCTGATAGGAAGAAAAATCATCCAATATAAGAGAGGCATGTGAATGAATAGTAATTATGAAATTGTTTTGTGCCTTTCATTGTAGAATACTGTATACAAGTGCTCCCTAATACATATATATGTGTATATGATGTCAAATATTATCTGATATGACAAACTCTTTTTTAATGCAGAAAGAGATTCTTGGGGTAATTTAGAAACAGAAAAAATACATTAATAATCAAAGAAACTATTTAATTTGCAAAAGATCAGAGTCTTTCATCTCTACTGCAAATGGACCAACAACCTGCCAACCGACAGCGTATGTGGGCTCTCGTGTGTATGTGTGTGTGTGAGACTGCATGTGTTTGGATTCAGCAGTACCAGAGTCAGAGTCTGGGTCAGACCGATCCAGACCCCCAACGCTGCTGACGATGTTGAGGAGGTGAATGGCTGTCCAGGCAAAAGGCATGCGAAAATGACCGAGACGACAGCAGGACTGCTCTGCCTGCAGACGCAGCTTATCCAGCTTCTCCTTGTGCTAAAGTGGGACAAGAGTAAACAAGATATGACGAAAACAGAATAAACAATACGTACAGATTAACCTTAAAATATCTGCAATAGTCAAAAGAGGGGCAAAGGGGGATTGTAAATATTGCAAGATACCAGACAGGATTGAGAAATGCTTGTGACTAGACAGTGAAGAGGTCCCATGTGCACACTGGCTGCTGTCTCTGACCATTGCACCAGTTTTAAACACATTTTGGCTCCATTACCTTGGAGGAATCCGATTCTTTCATGACCATGTAGGGTTCACAGCATTCTCCAATGTCTCCTTGTTGAAGAACTTTCTCCAGCTGAAATACAGTACATGCACGTGATTGAAGTGTATTATATTAATTACAATTATAATAAGTAGCACTTAAAATGATAAATAAAATGGAGAGTAAATGTCATTGAACATTGTAAAATTATTTTGTGCAACACGTGGGTTTCTCAGTACCTTGATGACCAGGAAGATATCAGCAGAAGGATATGTGATGGAGAAAATGGCAGAACGGGCTAGCGTGGATATGGCTATTTGAGGTGTGTGGGGCTTAAGCAGCCCTTTCATCTGATCCGAGTTCAGGTCAAAGTAGAAATTCTCAGAGATCTGTTGGAGGGAAGATTGAGATAACCGGGAAGCAACAGAGGGAGGGGAAGGAAAGATGATAATGGAAATGCACGTTAAGGGATTATAATTCAATTATGACTCAGTGGTCTAAACCGCAAGATCACTTAGACCTTTTTCAGAAGAGGAAAATTCAATTAGCCAAGCATGAGCTCAGCATTACGTAAGTGGTTTTACAGGGTGAAAGCTTTTCGAAGAATTATCATTGTACCAAATGAAAAAAATCTGATTTTCTTGTTATTAAAAATACCTTTTTCTTTTCCTTGACATCATACAGGGCAAGTGTTCCAAATATTGGCTCAATTTCTATTTCAAACCTAAAGAAAATACAAAATGTACAGTGGTTGTCAAATAAGGATAGCATTGGCGAAACTTCTAATAATGAACCAGAGCACAAAGAAATACGGTAAATGTCAGTTATATTCCAAATGTTACTCACTTCAGAGACAGACACTTGACCATGATCCTCTGGCCACAATGTTCCTTGGGCACTTCAGGAACAGAGCATCTCTCTACTGCTTCATCCTAAGACACAGACACAACAAAGCCATGTACAACATGCACGCACAAAATCACACACACACACACACAGACACGCAAGAATAACATTTACACAGATGTCATGGCAACGTGGCAGCAGAGAAGGCAGTGTTGTGTACATAGATATAAAGTAAGATGGAGTGAAAAAAGGAGGGAAGAAAAGCAAACAAGAGATGCTGGGTTTCCACACATTAAGAACATTCACTACATGGGAAATTCAACAATGTTGTAGTGGAAGCAAACAGAGACTGAATCTACGAACATATCCACCAGTTTTCTGCTGGTTAGTGCAGCTGAGATCTTTTAGATGAAGTTGCATTCAATCTAAGCACTTCGTACTATTAATACATTTCATGTTGATGACATTTGGCTTTTCCATTGGTTATGTTTATTAACAGGTTAAGCCATTTTTGATGCAAACATAAAACACTATTTTTGTATTCATTTCAAGCAAACAGTTGTTGTTTCTAAATGCATCACTGCTTGTTTACCTAAAGATATCCCGATACCTTCTATTAAGATTAGTACATTGACGTTTAGACAATTACCTGACTCACAAAACGTAGGACCATGAGCATAATATGCCTAATGTTTTGTTCATTAAAATTTAATAATCTCTTTATTACTTTGTCTGAAATGCTTCAATGCATTAACTGGAAAAAGCTTACAGGGATAGTTCATCCAAAAATTTAAATTACTCAATCTACTCACCACTATGACGGCGGAGGAGTGTTTGAGTCCCCTTTTGGAGTTTCAGCAGCGTTGTAGCAAATACAATGCAATTGAAGTAAAAGGCAACCACTTCTTCATACGTGTTCTCTTCAGCGAGAAATCGTAACAAGGAGGATAACAGACGACATTTAGGCAAAAAAAACGTGGTGAAAATTACGTGGGTTCAAGTTGAATTTGAATGTCGGGACTTACGGATGCTTAGATGACACCACAGGAGCAGTATGAAGGTTTTTAAGTGGTCCCCATTTACTTCGATTGTATTGCATTTTGGTTGCAACGCTGTTTACACATGAAACTCCTTCATGAAACTCCTTCACACTTCACCCACCCCTCCATGGGCAGTGTGGGGAGGAGATAATAAGTGCATTTTCCTTTTTGGGTGAACTATCCCTTTAACAAACAGGGTAATTCAATTTAAACTAATTATTAAGAATCATGAAGCCTGCAAATTTATATGTCACAGGTTTATTATTGTGACATATATATAGCTTTTTTCACAACAAAGCTCAATAAGGATGTGTTACTGCAAACCTCATCAGGGGGTGGGTAGAGGCCCAGCAGGTCACTGTGGCGCCCCTGCAGGCGGGCCTCCGTGTTGCGATGGTCCATGTCCTCAGCAGCTGTACGTTCCAGCACAGATGGCAGGAGAACGTCTGGGGAAGAGTTCTTCAGGTCAAATATGCTGGAGGCCCAGCTTCCCCGAGGAGTCTCATCAAGGCTAACTGACCGCCGCTTTGCGTCATCCTGAAACACATAAGTGAGAGAGAGACAGACGGGTGAGATCATTATTATTTTTCCCCCTCCACGCAGAGATGGGTTTGAAAGATGAGGAGAATAATACGCTACAGATACCATTACATATTTAATATGATTCATATGGAGAATGTGCAATGGATAATGGACAAGGTAGATCCATTAATCCATTACTCATTCTCCATATGACTAACTCGTTGTGGAGAATGTACTAGATAAGACACAAAGCCTCCCCCATCATAATGAAACATGTCATTGGTTGGCTAATATGTCCATCTCTCTTTCTATGTAATACATAATAGGAGTTTCAAAGACTTGAACTACCTATAAGTTTTTACTCCTGGAAACACTGTATATAAAAATTAGATCAGTAAAATCTGTTTAAAGAAACTTAAAATGACTGAATGGCGATAACAAGTTCTTGAAATACCACCATCAGCTACCTGGTCATCATGGCGCTCAGTAGCAGCAGCATCGTCAAGCTCAAAGGTCTGTTTAACCAGCCCTCGCTGCCTCTCCCTCTGTCGCTCAGAGTTATGGGGGGTGTATGTGGTGCTGTAGCGCTGATACCTACAAGAAAGAAAAAAGTGAAAAAGTTCTCCCAGCAATAATGTAACTGTCAATCATGTGCATGTTATTTAATAAAAGATTCAAAAACTGGGTTAATTCAACTGACACCGCTTACTTTCTTTGAATGACGAGCCAGTCATCTGTGTAGACTGCCAAGGCATCTCTCACTCTGGGATCCAGGGAGCTACACAGAAAAACACATTAATTATTAAGCAAAACATGCTTTTAATATTTATGTTCATTCAGTGTCACAGAAAGGAAGGCTTTGTTCCTGTCTGTAGAGATGTTTGTCCTCCATTACACTACTATTAATCCTCTGTGTGTATGTGTGGTAGTGTAAAAAGCATAGAGGAATGTGTGTGGTACAGTCTGAGGCTTGTGTTGGCCATCAGCAGCTGGACTTACTCCTCCTCTTCGGGCAGTGGGGGCTCCAGTGTAGTGCAGTCTTTGTCCAGCTGGAGGAGCTCCATGTCATCCTGTGGGAACTCCATTAGCTGTCTGAGGGGGCCAGGCTCCACCCCAGGAGGATGGCTGCTCACATACTCCTCAAAGTCCACAGGCTCAACCACTTCTGTCAGGGGCAACTGTCAACCAACACAAAAATATTAAGAACCAAAAACCACGACATGGCCGTAATAACAGATCAGCAGGACAGGAGATAGCACATCATTAGGATAGAGTGATGTATGATATAAAACCAAAAACGTATAGACAAGGAACAAAAACAATATTCAACTTTTTATTTTGCATCCTTGTGAAGATGGATATGTAGCTCAGAACACCCTCTGTTTGTGTTTATATTTTTAATTATGGGCATTTTGTCACTAAACTCAAGTTGTCACAAAATCTTTCATATTATAATATAATAATGTCTACAATTACACGTTCACCAGATACAAAAGGGGAAAATAATGTTTCGTTTGAACGGTATGTTAAGTTGATCACATTTCATTTTCAGGTTTCACTTCTGCAAACTTCAGCCAAACCAGAATCAGTCACGACACAACTGTGCCGGTCACATACTGTACACAAAGCTACGCATTTACATAAATTATAGTTTAACAAATGACCTCCTCAATGGTAATTTATAAGCTAAACAGTCTATTCCACAGCCTGAGCCTGGTTTCTCAGGAGTCGGAAGAGTAATTGTACATTTCTGCTGGACTAATTGGAAGGTTGTTTGTCATTGTAACAGACATTTTCCAAAACACAGCCTCTTACATAGCTATGTCTTATTCTATTTTGGGTGAGCATCCATAGAGAAACCTAACCTGGTTGTCAAACAACACAGGTGAGCATGGGTAGGTATATCATGTTTCAAAACCTTCATGTTTACTTAATAGAAACTACACTCAACTGCATTACTTGTATCTGAACTTCAACCACCTCACTAGAAGATACACCCATCAACTTCTGACCTCACTAATTGGAGCTTCAAACCTGCTGGCTCGAAACTCCGACAGGTTAAACACAGGGTGACTCACGGGTTGGTGCGCGCCGCCTCGTTTTTTGGAGAGCTGAGGAGAGCCATAGTCTCTGGACACTTGTTTTCTGACCTCTGCAGCAACCGTCCTGAGCAAGAGAAAGATATAAAAATGTTTGTCAGATCCTCAAAAGGGGAACAACAAAAAAAGATGGGGATGTTAAGAATTCATAAAAAATATATATATATTATATATAAATATATATATTATTTGATGTGTGGGTGGGTGGGTTGTCATACTGCATTTAAGTACCAGTCCCAGAACTAAAATCACTGCAATGAACACAACAGCAAATTGAATGATTATGATACAAGAGAAAATTTGATAAACAAACCCTTTTTAGTTCTTCACTCAGTCTCTCTCACACTCATTTACTTTTCTCAGATTCAGAGCTAAAGCATTACTGCAGAAACACCAAGCTTGTCTGCATAGGCATGGCTCAGCCTCTACAAAACCCTCCTCCTCCTACCACGCAGTGTCCATGCAGCTTCTGGTGTTGGTAGCGATGCTAAAGGCCAGCAGCTGTTGTCAATGGGGACTTGAGCGGATCTCACAGAGAGGTAGCGAGTTGGCTCCATGGAGCAGGCACAGAGCCAGAGCTATGTCCATTGGCCTTTATAGGCTAACGGCAAATGGGAGGCTTAAAGACAGACAATGCAGGAAGAAAAAAAAAAAACAATGCTCACACAGAGACATAGAGCAGCTGCTCCTCTAGTACTACAAAATGTCAGTTTCTCTCGTATACACAGCTGCAAAGGCTTAAGCATTTCCCAAACCATGGTTCTTGTGATAACATAACTATGGTTCATGCCTTCATTCTGTCAATACACAAGGACTGTAATGTAGAGACCTCTGCTCTGTAATCTCTAACACACAGCTATACTTTTTAAACTCCTGATGGCACAGCCTTCTTTGAAAGTAGACAATTTCTGCATGTTTTAAACAATAAGCTGAGACTATATATATATCTACAGAAGATCTTTCTGCAGATCACTATACTTCAATTTGAAACAGGAAAAAGGAAAGCTATCGACTGCAGACGAAACAGCCAGAACACCCCTTCCCACCCTTTCCTGCATCCGGCACTAAACAATGGTCTTGGTCCCACTTAGGAGAGGAAAGACAGGACTTAGGGAATGCAGCGAGGGACTGTTTCATGAAGCTAATAGCTCTACAGAAAGTGACATTGATGTTTAACAGGCTAAAGTGACTTAGAAACAATCCATCACTTGGATGGTGATGAGTCCAGAGTTTATAAGAACTATAACGTAGGCAAGTTTCAAGCAAAGTTTTCTCTGAGGTGGCAAAACCTCAAGAATCGGTTAGTTTTCTTCACAGGTTTGTAGAGTTTCAAAGCTAAGCTGGTTCCTGTCAATCAAAATAACAGTAGAAATAAGTGTGATTTGGACAAAAGAAAGGTTTGGATAATAATCTATTGCAGAAAACAGGGTGGGGATCTGCCTTCAGCACTTCCAAACACATAATAGCACAACCGCGTCATTCCAAGATCCAGCTGACAGCCATGCCTTGAGGATTTTCACCTGGAATCTGATCAGAATTTATCTTTGCATCAGAAGACACGCCGCTCTTCAAGTCCATGTAGTGCTACACTTGGTTGTGGAGAGGCAGAACCAGTTGACGACATGTGGAAACAGGTTAGCACATTAATGCTGCAAGGCGTTCACACGAGAACAAAACATCCTGATGTCATCTAAGAGCCATTTAGAGGTGCCCCCCCCCCTTTGGTGTTATTAGGTTTGAATGCCCCCAAAATGACACATCTCGGTCACCAGATTAGCATTAAGCCTCGCAGTGTTATCTTAAAGTAGCTCATTGATGACAATGCGCTTAACGATGCTACACAAGGGCTAATCAACTCTTCGGAATGTTAGAGAATGGCGAGCAACCGCTTCTGCAAACTTTTATTTTCGGGCATAACTGTGTTTATACTCATCGGTTTATGGTTAGAGGTACGTTAGCAGTCCTAGCTTACTTGCTACATACATGTATATATACACGGAGCGTCCGGCAGGTCACTCACACAAACACACACACACACACAGCTGCAGCAGTTAAACACAAACTTCAGCTCCAGCCTCACCGGTTGATTTTATGAGCGAACGCCCTCCTCTCGCTGGCTGTAGATGTCATGTCTCGTCCCCATGTAGAGAAACCCCTGGAAGTCAAAGTGAAAGCGAGATCTTTCCCTCCCGCACCGCGGCTCTGTCCCGTCTCGAGTGTGTGTAGATCGGACACCGCTTCCTTCTCCACGCCGGCACAGAGCACGGATCCCTACTTGTTCCTCCCAGCGGCTGGGAGCTGAACTGCAGCCAAGCAAGCGTCACGTCAGCTCTCGCGCACAGCACAGCACCGCATCCGGGGACACGTCAAAATAAAACCCAATCATAACTTATCTGTTAAATCATGCGTAACGCTACAACACGCGTTTTGTATATTTTAATCCTCAGCGCAATTGTATAGATGCACATCAAGATTAAAGCAAGGGTAATGATGTTTTGTTTTTTTGCTTTGTTTCACCACAAGGTATAACAGCTTCACTTCCGGTCTCGCTTCTGTCCGCAGTAGGTTGACTGGCTCAGACGAGGAGACAGTTTCCTCCATTTGTTCCTGCAGAAATCTCACCTGACCGGTTTTTAGAGTGACACAGTAATGGCGCACATCCACTTCAGTTTAGGGTTTCACTTCTGTGTAACATTTAGGAAGCGGCCCACAGACGTTTCAGACCATACATCACCTTCCACCTGCTTCAGATCACTCCTTTACTTTGCTGACAAGATTTTCAAATCACACACAAAGAAACAAATGCCCTGCTTTAATGGAATAAGATTACAAATGTCTCTGTTTCAGGTTTAATCCATTATTTTAATTTCTTTCTAGTTTAAATTTAATCTCACTTAAAAAAACAAAACAAAACAATGCACATCAGCAGCACCTAGAGGCCTCCAGGCATTACAGCAGGTCTCTGACAGACAACATAGAGTGTTGCACTTAGGCTACACCAGTAGGTGGGGCTGTTCACCATGATTGGAAAAGAAAGAAAAGCCTTTGCTCATCAGTGGTTGTTTGAGATTCAGTCTTTAAATTTGACCTCTACAAGGAGATAAAGAATAGCCACTCGTGTGTCTTTGTCTGTGTGAGTGAGAGACACATCACAGAGCCCATTAATACATGGTTTTATAATTCTTATACAAACAAAATAAACAAAAAAAGGCTACTATGGGTTATTTTAAGGTGAATAAAGAAAATGTGTCAGAAATGTTATATTTGATGAGCTGTCTGTCCTGTTTGAGTAGATGAAGAATGACATTGTCAGTGACTCAGTTTATTGTAATGGCAGGTCCACATCGACCTCCCCACCCCCCAGTCTGCAATCATTCTATACCCCCATGCCTACTAAGAAGAATTAATATGGCCATTCTCGCTGCTGCAGCCCTCCCTCCCTCTGCTCGCTCCTTCAAGCCCACAGTCGTCCTATTCAGCACCCTGGAGAGCTGCTGCAGGTACTCGGGGCGTCCTCTGCGAGATGGCTGATGAATGGCGTGAATTGTATGGGAGAGATTTGAAAAATGGAGAGAGGGGAGATGGAGAGAAAATTAACCTTGCATGACAGAGGCTTGGCTGTAGCCGAGCAAGGACAGACATCTCAGGGATATATGTTTATGCATGGAGCAGCAGTCAGAGCAGCATCAGAGCTCGCAGCAGGCAAGGGTCTGGCCCGTAGACCCTGCTAATGAAAATAAATGAAGCCCACGCTCTCCGGCTCTCCCCTATATGCACAGTATCACCACAATGCCAAGATTCATTGTTCTTTCCCTGCTGCTCGAAGGAACCGCAAATTCTAATTCATTGCACAGCAGTGCTCTCCATAATTGGTTTGTTTAGGATTGAAATATAATATTGTTATCCTCCTGACATTCATATTTACATACGTCTCAGACATGCCCAGCAAAACTAACCTTTCAATATAGATTCACTGAGCAGACATACTGTGTGTTTGTGTGACATTGCCGTGTCCTTGCATAGTTGGAGAGCCCATGTACTATAAGTGGGCTGAACCCATGCCGGCTTTATCCTTCTGTCCGCACCTTCCCTGACGGCTTCCTTGCCTTTCTGTTCATCGAAGGCTTTCAATTCCTAGATCGGCACTATTGTTTGAGCGCCCAGCCCCCACGGCAGCCAGAGCCCCCCCCCCACCACCAACATCACTGCTGTGTTACCAAAGAACAAAAGAGAGAGTGTCAGACACCACCCACTAGATCTCTTTCACACAAGAGCCCCCACCTCAGTTCCAGATGGGGTTGCTTTTTTTTCAGGGTTTCTCTCAACCCCAAGAGTCCTCCAAAATGGATGCCCCCTCCCCCTGGAGCCCACTACTCAGCTGCCCGTCATCCACCTGCTTCGCTGCCACGCGCCTGTGGCCGGGGCACATCCCCTCTCTATCCCTCCCCACCAGGGAGTCCTATTAAAACCATTAACCACGTTTTTTCTTCCTGGGGTCTGCTTCCAGGACATTACTCCGCCAGCAGAACAAACTTTAACAACATTAAGTCCTAAAAAGGAAGGACAACCCCACAATCTGTCTTTTAGATAAAGGAGAAACAAAATAGGGGGTATGGGGTCAATGACACATGTAATAATTTGTTAAAAAGAAAATGTTAATCTAATTTAATGTGATATGATATGAAACTTTGTTGTTAAAAAAATTATTGCAGTTTTTTTTGTTAAGCTGCTCTTAAAGCAGGATGGAGGAATTACACCAGACTGAATATTGCAATCAATAGTGCTCATTCTCATCTCTGTCCCGTGGTGGTGTCCTTTACATGGGCAGGCAGATGCTCATTTGTTTGTTTCTCTCAAAGCATCAACATGTAGCATCTTCAGGAGAGTCTCTGCCTCGACCTCCACCCTTTTGACCTTTAGCCTCCAGGGACAGAGAGCGAGGTGCAGCAACAGGACACATCTGCTGCAGTGTTGATCCTACAGTCAGAGGTTTGGCAGGTGGGGGAAAGCAATCAGTGCTGGATCACTCAAAATTTGCTAAATTGTGCAAAAAGAAAATCCCCCACACCAGCCTTCAGCTGGTATTCACCTCTTCACCGTTCTCAAAACGATTTCAGCTAATCAAACAAAAACACTTTCACTTTGCCTACATCACATGCATGGATGCCTGCTTTGCTGCTACTCTCTAACCAAGATTTATGGAAATATTCACTTCCAGCAACACTCAGTGCCGTGAACACACTGCTATTAGTGTGCTCATGATTGAATATATGCAGATGTATGCATATAATATGTTTATGAGTTCTTTACAGTTCTTGTGTTAGACTTTTTACAGGTTCTGTGCTGCAGGAAATGACTAAACCCCCCATCACCATTACGACCAGCCCCCAACCCAACACCATCCTTTAGTCCCTAAGGGTTCAAGCACCCAAATCAATTGAAAGAAAGAAGAGTGCACTGTGGTCCTCCCCCTACATCTGTCAGGGAGGGAAAACAGGAGGGGCCGCACTCATGGGCCGTACAGGGGAACAATATCACTCCATCTGTCACAAACCGTTTCATCTCTGATGGGATGAAATATAGCTCACAAATACATCTACCACTATCATCTATGTGTATTAGCTTACTGGTACCAAAGCCTCTACCAATTCCCAGAAGCATATGCAGTGGCTTTTTGTCTTGAATTACCTTCCTCCCACCAGCTAGCACTTTCCAACCACCTTGCAGATTATGCTTTTAAGCCAAACAGTATGGTGAAAGAAATTATTCCACTGTACACAGTGAGGCAGTTAATGAAAATGGAAGACAACCAAGTCACGAAATTTGCATGTAAAAAGTTCCAGCATGAACGTTTAATGAAGAATGCACATATTGCATTTGGAGGATATAGTGGAAAAAAAGTCAGATGCAATCTGCTAATAACCAGAGGGTTCTTTCATATTCAAATGTTGCTGCTGCTGTGTTTGGAGGATGGGTGTGGCCGGCCGATTCTTCTTGCCTCCTGAGCTGTCGCTGCTTTGTGACGTCCACGATCGTATTTGCTCTATCAAATCATGTTATCAGTGCCGAAGACAAAATGACAAACCCAAACAATACCTATCAAACAAATCCACAGTGCTGCACACAGATCTCCGACAAAACAAGGTAGCCCAGTCATCCAGTCAGCTGTAAGAACAGCACAAAATGGCCTGACTGTTTACTGCAGGGAGGAACGAAAAAATGAAATGAAAAATGTGAAAAAAAATCCCCATATCCCCAAGAGCCATCATGCATCTCTCTCAGCAGCAGGTAGAGCTGCAATCTCAGTCATTCATATTTAATTCCACAAGAGTTTCCGGCCAGACTAATGTGCTATTGATTTCAAGTCTCCTATTACTGAAACAGGGGAGCGCCATGAGGGGAGAGAGCTGGACTACAGGGAGAGAGAGAGAGCAAGAGATTGAAAGAGAGGAGGATGGAGAAAGATGAAGGGGGTGAAGATAGAGTGCAATGGCTAAACCTATCATAATCCCTTTCGACAGCCCAATTTTATCCATCTGATAATCAAGTTTTTCCTCTGTCAAGGAAATGCAAAAGATTCTATATCAAAGTACGCTGAGAACATTTCAGGTGGGGGCAGGAAATGTACACAGTTTATGAAACTAAAAACTGTTCAGCTTAACAGAAACAGGCATCCAGTACATGCACCTCATCTACTCGTTCTGTGTCTGTCACTTGTGTGTGTTTTTTTCACGTCAGATAGAAAGAAAACAGCAGGAAAAGGAGCGAGAGAAAAACAAAGAGAATGTCTAAGAGCTTTGTGTATTTAAGGTCTGTCCCTAGATACCATCTCAGACAGGACAAAATGAAAGATTAATAACCACGACTTTATATTTAAAAAGGTTTGAGCATCACATGGTTTCTGCAAAGGGGGATAGTCCTGCTTCAGTCCACCTCAAAGCTCCATAAAAATACAGACGTGGCACCAGTAATCTTATAATTAACATGTATTATAACATATCAACATAATTTTTCTTAAATCAAATTTTAAGGATGTGGAGCATGTGGACACTGCCTGAAAGGTTAGAAATATTCTGTTCTCCTGTGAACGAATACAAACAGATACAGATAATCGCGCACAAAGAATTAAACAGGCACACGGGAAGCAGAATATAATCCATAAATAAAAAGATGACAAGACCGTCTACTTCAGAGACTTCCTCCCACCAGCCTGTCTACTCTAATAATAGCCAAGAGACAACACATGCAGACAGGCAGAG